CTTCTCGCGCGGCAAATGGGATTCTTAGTCCCTGGAAGCTTCCAACGCCCCGGCCTGCCGAGAGACGGACTTATCCGGTGTTTGTCACCGGCGCGGCGTGTTTACCTCCATGCGGCTAATCCGCCTCTCTAGCCCTCGCCCTCCCCCTTGGGCTCTGCAGTGGGGGCCCGCGCGCCGTCTGCAGGCAGCCTGACAGCCGGTGAGAGGGCACCCTGCCACGCACAGGTGTTTAGTTCACCGTGCCCTTTCCTGCCCCTTTGCGATGGCGAAAGGCAGCTGCACAGAGTCTGGATCTTTTAAACACGCTTTGGGGTGTGGGGTTTTCTCAATGCTTGTTTTTCACACCAGGCTCTGACTTAGCGGAGGTGCCGAGACAGCTGTGTCTTGCTCTCAGTATGCAACCGGGGAGCGCCCCAGTTCTAGTCCTGACTGTGCCACTGACTTACTTTTGACCTCAGGCATGTCACTTAGGGTATGTCTACACAGCGGCGCTATTTTGGGATAACGACCCTTATTCCGAAATAGCTTCTGTGCATCATAAGAGCACGCCCGTTATTTCAAAATGCATTCGAAATAACGGGCTTCTTGTTCTGGTTTCCTATAAACCTCCTTGCCCGAGGAGTAAGGAAGACGCCGGAATAGCGATCTATTTTGAAATTTTGCGGAGCTTATTTCAAGGTATGCGCGACTGTGTCGCTGTGTCCCTACTCTCCCTGTTACCGTGACCTCTTTTCCTGGAGGTCTTGGGAAACCGTTACATGGTAACATCCCCCCCCAACCTGGCACTGCAGCTCTCCCAGCTTCCACCTGAGAGGGCCTCTCATGTGTGTGCATGTCTGTGTGTGATGGGGAAACTGAGGCACAGAGCAGGTAAGTTCAGAGTGCAAGTGCCTGCCCACACCGGGCCCAGGAGCTCTGACACCCGGTTCCCGGTGACTGTCTTACCTGGAAACAAGCGGGTTTCACTGCTGAACGGCACGCAGGGCATGGCTAAAACCCAACGGAGACCTTTTCAACTCTGGATTCCAGCCTCGCTGAGCTGGGCCAACCCGCTGTGGAGCCGGGCAGACCCCCCAGCCTCTTAATCTCCGCGGCCGTGGGCACATCACTTGACGTCTCCTTGCCTCAGTTTCCCAATCTATCAAAAGGGGGCCAGCACGGCGCCGTGACTCAGGGGCGTGTGGGGCCTCGTCACGGGAGCAGAGCCAGTAATGGGGATGCTGCGCGTTGAGGGCGACCCCTGGGGAACTGGGAACCGTGCTGGGCTGAAGGGACTGTAGGGAGGGTCTACATGTGGCGCCATTTCTACCCGGAGCAGCGGCGTGTCTTCCTGCTCGGCATCACTCCCCCCGGACGGTCTGACTCGCCCTTTCCCAGCCGGCGTCTGGCTCTGCCGCTGCCAGCCCTGGCTGGTGCTTTGAACTCAACGAGCCGCCTTGGCTCCTGGCTGTGGTGGGACGCAGCCCGGCGTCCTGGCGGCTGGCCCACCCTGCAGTGGCACGGTCCTTCCGGTGCAAAAAGGGGTGGCGTGGACGGGGAGCTCTCCTGACAGCCGGCCTGGCGGATGCGGCCTCCCACCGATCCCCTCCCTTCCTCCCTCAGCTGGATAGGCCGGCGCTCGAAAACGAGCATTTCACCGCAGGGGGGAACCACGACAGGCAGCCCCCGTGCAAGAGACACTCGTCGTCCCGGGCCTGGCATGCGCACGTCCCCACCCGCCCGTGAGGGGGAGCGGGCGTGGAAGAGGTCACGGTCAGCGAGTGTGAAACGGCGTGGCGCTTTTCCGCACTTACCTTGGGGGTGCCGGGCGCCACGGGCTCCTTCAGCAGCGAGTTCTTACTGCCAAGAGAGAAAAGAGGAGAGTGAGTGGGCCAGGACTCCGCACGGCACAGTGGGGAGAGACCGGGGCGGGAGTACGGGGGCAGATCAGAGACGGGGCAGCGTAGCCAACGGGGAAGGGTTTGGGCCTAGCAGTCCCCACCTCGCAAACCTGAGGAGATTTTGCACCAGGAAGCCCGTTCCCTCGCCTG